CCTCAGCCACGTCGACCCATGATCCCCTGCATGATTTGCATTCGGCCCGTCTGAGGTGGAACGATGGGAAAGTGCCTTGAAATCCGATGCTTTACAACAGATTTCCCATATATCAGCCGATCACGGCGCATGTTCATCGAGATTTGTTACGGAACGAGTAAAGGTTCAAGCCAGGGACTCCTGCGCCGAACTTCACGTTGACAAGACCCCCCCACTGCCTTCCCTCGGCCAATCCTGTACCCTATAACAGATCTCCTATGTATTCTTCGATTAACAGCACCTGCTCATCGCGATCTATCATAGCGCGAGTAATCCAACATGCCAGGTTCTTAGACATGGAACGTTCTAGAAACTACTTGATTTGGTAAACTACTGGTTGAGTCGTGGTTTGTAGTGTACGTGAACTGGTGCGGGTATATTCTCCGAGAGGTGTCAACTAGCTGGGACTGTTTGATTGGTGCTGGTAGTTGGGTTAGTCTTGCGGGTACCGTACTATACAGATACTGGTCGAGCCAAAGCTTTGAACGTACGATACTTGAACATGGATGGCATCAGTGAAAGCAACCTCGGCACTGGCAAGATAGTTGATGTGCAAATCTGAAATTCACTAGAGATCGGAGAGGATGACTCGGACAACGCAGCAGATGGAGGCATGTTACAAGGTTGTATCGGCCATGGTAGATGCCGAGCAGCATATCTGTGAATGGCATAGAGTCCAACATCCAGGTTTTGATCAGATCATGCCATTTCGACAAACTGGCATCGGAGATACCATACCGGAGATCATTGATATGGGAATCTGGTGTCGGCTGGAGATCGGAAGAATGACCAGGATAATGTAACACAGGACAGCATATCACAAGATTACGTCTACGACGATAAATGATGCCACAAGTTGTAAGAAGCCATGTAGCCAGGTCACAATCGCTGCAACTCTTGAGTCATGGCACCAAAGCTGAACTCAAATCCGGCCACAGCAACGTTACTACAAACACATAGTCTCACATCACTGAATTTGCACACTGAACAGAACCAAGTCGAGACGACAGGCTTGAAAAACAACACACGCATCGAACCCCAAAACGTACAAAAAAACAAAACGTACGATCAATTCACCTTCCATTACCGGACTTTGGCACCAGGCACCATCCAAAAACTATAGTAATAAGAAGCGATTGCAACCAAAACTCGAAATGACAGGCAAGAATGAAAAAAAGGGGAGAGAAAAAAGAGATCAACACCAGAAACAACTTAGATGCAATTTTCATCCAGACTTTGGGGGAGACAACAAAAAAAGGCGATAAACAAGACGTACGATAACGTGGAGAGTGTCCCCCTTAATACAAAACGACCCGATACATTTCATGAACATGAACTTAATGCTTTTTCTGCTTTGGAGCGCGAAGATATTTAGAAATGCCAAAGGTTTGTGAGGAAAATGCCAAAATTTGGATGATAGAGGGGGGGGGGGGGGGGGGGATTTGGGGGAGGTGGAAAGGACAGTGGGGCGGATTAAGGTGCTGGATGTGATATAGTCTGGGTTGTATAACCATCTGTGGCTGCCAAAGATCTACTTGGTGTGGATTGATTGGGCCGCGGTACTCTACAAAAAACATA